AATAAAATCCTTGGAGAAATGTATTAATTTTTTGTGATCATGAATCCACTTATCTTGACTGAAATTAGATCTACCAGTCTCAAGATAAACAATTTCAAGTTTAGCATTTTTTTTTAGCTGGATTACCATCATATAATCAGTTCTTTGAGCAATTTTACAAGAACCTTTTCATATAGTACTAGCTGAACTCCTTTCTTTACTCTTTAATTTAAAAAATATTAATTATAATAAAAGATATAATAGTGTTGTAATGTAACCTTTGAACTAAACCTATTATATATCTCATACTATCAGGTTTCCTGATAAATCATTTATCATTATGTTCAATAATAGTGTTAGAATCTTACAAATATATATCCTTCATTTATCGATTTTTCCTTCTTTATATATGCTTTGTATTTTAGCGATTTCTAAATCTTAAGCCTATAATTATTTATCAGTTAATGAGCAAAGTAAAAAATTATATAAACAGATTTCACAAGAATTACTTATCAGTTACTTACATTGATTCTAACATTTGTTTTGTTAAATCTTACAATTCTTCAGGCTTGCCTAACCATTCTCAATAATTAATATTACCCAAACCTCATCTATGTTAATTTTTGATTCTTCGTTTTGAATAAATTCTTTACAGGCTTCTATTATATCATGATTCTATTCTAAATTATATTTTTGAAATAGTTCCTTAAAAATATCAAAAACTGATCTAAGCATATTTGTAAAGGATTTTGATTTGATATCTAGAATACCTGAGCAAATCAGATAATCGAATCTAAGGTTCTTTACATTTATTTTCTCAAATTCTATTTCTATTCTCTCTTACATAGTTTTTTTATAACTAGCACTCTCAATCATGCACTGTCTAACGTCATGCTTTAAAGATTGTAAATTTGTATTTACATCTTCATACTAGGCTTCTGTATCAATTACTAATGTTTTTATTTCTCAGAGTGAATATAGATCTTTGAATGCAGTTGTAACCTAAAATATATTTAAAATTAGTTTTCAAGACTTATTTAACAAAATAATTTTATTTTACAATATCACAGAATTAAGTTAGGTTTTCATTTTCATAAAGTCTCAAGTGCTAGCAAAATATTTAATATGTAAATATAGTATAAAACTAGTTACTACTATATGAAAAGTAATAATATTATAACAGATATCAGCCCTTCGCTAGTGATAATACTATACTAGAAAACCTAAAAAAGCATATTATCATATCTATATATTTATTATAAAAATAATTTATCATTTTACCCGTTTAACTAATTTTTTTCTGATACTAAAACTTTAAAGTTTTTTTCTTCACTTGATATCTTTTGAGGGGACTTGTTCTAAGACTCTTTTCAAAATATTCTTAAAATTCTCTATCTTCTTCTCGAGAACACCTGTTTATTTTTACTTGTATAAATAATGCTGTGAAAATTTTAACAATATTAAGGATTTTTTTGTTAAAAGAAATTCTTCCATGTTTTGATAGAATAAAAAAGTTAATATTAGTATAAAGCTTATTAGGCAAAGTAAAAAAATAATATATAGTAAATTTCAATATCTTTTCACCATATTGCCCTTTTAAATGTCTTACATTTCCCAATTATGTCCTCTCTAATTCATATTTATATTAGAAGAAGATAAAGGAGAATATGCAAGACAATTTACGCTAAAAGTTATAAGGGCATATAAAATATATATTAAAGATCTCAATATTATATTATATATACTTTAATGAGAATCAAAAATATACTAATTTATTTTGTACATACCTACATGCATTGGCTTTAAGGTGTTTTGCATGATTGAATAATATATTATTTTATTAATACAATATTCAGGATCTGGGTCAAAGTCTGATATTTCTAAATTTTTTAAAAAATACTTTATTAAAATAGATTAGAAGATCTAATCCAGAATAGGCAGATTATGCATAGTGCCTTTGGCCAATTTTACTAGGTGATCATCTATTATGTAGTATAAAAAATAAATTATATTAATTAAACTAGTTAAATAATCATGACTTTTATCTTATCTCTTAAATTTAATGTGAGTTGATTAAGATAGTTTATAAATAGTAAAATCCCAAAGAGACCTAGTAAGTTATTTTGTTTTATATATAGAGATGAGATAAATATTTCACCATTTACTTAGGAAACAGAGAATCAGATATAATTTTTTCAGGATATAATACCCTTCTGATCAGAAAAATTTTTATGCAATATTTCTAACTTTGAGCTTGCAAGAAGATGAGCTGATCTCTTTAGAACTATTTCTATATATTTATTAGTCTTAAAATATGAGTTATTCTAATAATATTTTATCAAGTCTTCAGGCTTAATCTCATACCCATATCTCTGTTATCCACTAAAATATGTCTTTTTAAGTTTTTATTAATGATCTCTACTAATTTTCAATAATCGAAATAAATAGCCATTTTGTAACTATGAATATTAGGTCTGTGATAACTAATGACAACTTCTCTCCCTTTATAATTATTATAGTATATCTTGGTTACTCCTTGTCCAAATGATCTGAATAGACAGAATATATGATAATAGCTTTTATGACCTTCAGTAATCAATGCTTGCAAAGTGTCTTTTATATAAATAGTCTATTGCTAAAGAGTTTTATATAAATTATTAATAGATAAATTATCATATCTTTTTCAATCTCAACTATTTTTTCAAATTGATCAGAATAAGGAAAATCATAACAGTTCTAATATATTCAATATCATATTCAGGACAAAGATTGATGGGTTTAGGCACAATTTTATTATAATCATTTTCTAAAATAATATCAATATACTTATTAGGTCTTGGTCTGTTAATATAAGTTCCTGATATATTCAACGATTTTATTGATTTTATAGTATTTTTTTAGTGATTTTAGCTGATTTAGCAATATTATACTCTAATAAATCCAAATTCATTTTTATTTGATTATTCAAGTATAAGCAGATTCATAATTTTTGATTTGGCTAAATTAGATCTGATCACTATAGATGATTAAATTATGTATAGCTAAACTATAAAATTTGTATTACATGTGATCTCCCTAAATCCCTGTTAGTTCCTCAATAGTTCTAGAAGCTAGCAAGTTTCTATAAATCATGAGATCATCAGCCAATCAGATTTTACCTTCCTTAATCTATTGACATGATTGCTAAGCTACCGTTATTATTTGATTAATCATTATATTGATTAATTAATTTACCTCATAATGATCCTAACACATTACTTAATATTATTTTATAAAACAAACCAGAGAATTTATATAGGTTATATACTAATTTTATATCTATATATAGTATATTACAGACAAATTTAGTGAGAAAGTGTACTTATATATATGATTCTACTTTATGATTTTGTGATTACACGTGATACATGTAATGAAAATAAATTGTTATAACTAATAAAAGTTATAGATAATCCTACCTTTTATTATATGTCAAACTATATGAGTAATGTCAGAGACAATCACAATTATTTCTCTTCTTTTGTGGTAAAGTATTAGGTAGGTTATCACTTAGTGAATGTACTATTTTATAAAAATTAGCTATATGTTCTCGATAATATATCATAATTCTTATCTGCATAAAAATATTATATAGTGAATACATAATACTTACGTTAAAACTATCTAAAATATTATCTTGAATTTGGCAATTGTTTCTATTATTTTTGGTAGTCTTACCAGGTATTCATTTATTATTGGTAATATAAAATCATTATAATTCTTAATCACAAACTTATTATTAATGTAATGCATGCTTAAGAAACTAAAAATTTTCCTATTTAAATTAATTGAATTACATTAATTAATGATCTAATATAATCAGTGCAAAACGTGTTCACATTTACCATGGACTAATACAGCAAAAGTTGATATAATGCAGATTATCTATAAATAGAAATAAAATTGCCTGAATTTAAAATCCTAAAACTTTTGTTCTATATGCTATAAAGAAAAAATTATTCATAATAATTATAGAGCGGACAATAAAAAATAAAGTTATAATTTTAAATATTTAATTGATTAGAAAGATTTTGAGTTTTAGGCGATTGAAAATTATGATTTTCTTATAAAGTGTTCAAATTTTGAATATCAATCTTATTATGTGACATTGACTTTACCTAATAAAATTTAATCACGTGAAAATTACCTAATAAAATATGTATAATACAATATAATGCAAATCGATTGGTAAATTTTTTTTTTAAAAAAATTTTCTTCCTTAAGTATGCTCCAACTTACAAAGAGAAAAGCTATAGTGAAAAACAAAAATTGTAATAAGAAAGAAAAATTTGGCATTTTATAATATATAGAACAAAAGTTTTAGGATTTTAAAGTCAGTCAATTTTATTTCTATTTATAGATGATCTGCATTATAGTTAATAAATCGTATTGATCACATGATAATTTATTCACATAACTGTTTTTTGATTAGATAAAATCATGTGATCTATTATAATCAGCAAAAAAAAATTCAGACTGTTTGCCTTTTAAATGATCTGCACTATAATACTTATCTACAAGTTCTTTTATTTTAGATACATTCCATCTTTCTTCAGTTGTTTTTGGATATTGGCTTCAACCTAATTAATTATTATAAGTTAATAAATCATAATTTATCCAATCCAAAATTACATTACCTTTTCCCATTCATTCTCTAATGTTCTTATTTGATCAGAAAATGTATTGTAAAGTTCTTTCGTATATGAAAATTGTCTATTAAAGTGGAAAACAATCTTGTATGTAGTAGCCAAATGATTCTTCAAATTTTTCAGTACACTTAATTTATCCTTATAAAAATGATCTATCATATTAATTTAAAGTCCAAGTTTAATACTAATAATATGATGTAAACTATAAATTACCTTAGATATAAATGAACTTAAAATGTTATCAGCAATATTCCCAATTTTGTTATTTCTTTTGTTACCTTTATCTAAGTTATCAAAAAAACCTGTATCATCATTATTAACCCAAACTTGCATCTAATCTTCTCTGGTTTTATGAAAAATATCAGTAAATTTTGTTAATTGAAACACCAGTATATTGTTGGTTTGATTTTCATCAGTTAGACTCTAAGTCAGTGAAAAATATTAACAATATATCATAAAAATAAATCAATAAAGATAACTAACTCATCCAATACCAGCGAAAAAATTATGCTATTTTATGAAGACAAGTTAATAAAATAACTAGCTTACCTTCTTTAAAACGTTAACTTTAAGTCTATTATCTAAATGATCATGAAAGTCAGAGTGTGCTTGACATTTTATTTTTTTGATTTTTTTCTATTATTCGATATTTGCTGTAAGTACCCATCCCATTTTTTTAATCTTAAATAAAAAATTAATATATATCAACTTTTCAGTTCTTTTTCTCACCCTTATAAACAAGATTAGGAAATTAGTACAGTTAGTACAGCTTAGTACAGTTTAGTACAGTTAACATACATAATAATTAATATAAAATTTAGTATAGTATAGTACAAGTATAAGGTCAAAATTTGCTTAATATATACAAATTTTCCAATCCTACTCATAAGTGTCACAGTCATACATATATTCATTATTCTCACATTTTCTTTTTAAACTTAGTAATATGTCTGAATTTAATCATTTTTTAAAGCTTTACGTAAACGTAACTCATAATCGAAAGTACTGAATGCTTTACTGCTAGTATTTGTACTTCATAAAGAACTTTGTCAAATGAGGATTTTCACTATTTTTTAAAAAATTTCTTTGCTTTTTGCGAACCTTGTCTAATCTCATAACTGTTTTTATAATTGAGAAAATAACGCGCTTGTTATTTCTAAAAAAGTATTTGGTTGAACTATTTAGGTACATGATCCAATTTTTTTTGATTGTTTCACATATGTTATAGATCATAATATAAATTCAGACAAAAAAATTTTTTCATTAAAACTGATTAAAGTATAGCTGGTTTACTTAAGCAGAAAAAACTGAGGTTACTCACTTGTATTCTGCGGACGTTTTCAATATGAAAATCACAATCTTTGCATAAGTGTCTGCTAAGTATTAAGTTAAAGGTCAGGAAAAAACTGAGGTTATTCATCTGGATAAGTGAAAACATTATTACTATATACCTTGAAAGTCTATCCGTAAATGAGTGCGCTTGATTAGATAGATATACTTTAACATTTGCTATTCTTTTTCTTTTACTATATATTATATTTTTGTATTCGTAATAAAAGCTTTAACGTTATATACCTTCATAGGGAGTATTTTTCATTTGCTATCTCTTTCAACAATCTCACTTTTTATCAATCAAAAATTATTTAGTTTAAAAATAAAAGCTAATTTTATTAATTTTTTGAAAGCATTAGTAAGGCTATAAAGTGAAGAATGCTAGAGAAGTGAAAGAAATATATGTTGCTATCAAAGATGGAGGGAGTACGCAGATCTTAAGCCATTTAATGTGAATCTAGCATCACATTATTTCTTTACTCTTGAATAATTTTGAAAAATATCTATAACTATTTTATTTCTACTTCTATTGCTAATTACGTAATTCTCTTTCCCATATTTTTTACTATATAGGATCTTTGTAATAAAAAGGAAGAAACTACTAAAAAAAATTAATTTTTATTTTTATATATTAAATATAATTTTTAGGTTAAAATATGTTTAAATTTAGTATTAACTCACTTTTTATTATTATTTTTTTATTAAAAAAAAAACTTATAATTAATGATTATAAAAAGTCTTTAAAATAAGTATCTATATTTGAATTTGCTAAATATATAAAAGAATTAAAATAAAAATATCTCTAATATAATTAGTAAATAATTATATATATTTTTTTTAAAAATATAGATTTTATTTTTCTTTAAAAAAACTCTTTCTCCCTTTTTGCAAAAATGCCCAAAAAAAACAGAAAGAAAGAATACCAACCGCGGCCGCTCGGCTTCGCCAATATCAGACAAAATACCAAAAAAGAAACA